AGGCATGTGCCACCATGCCTGGCTAATTTTTTCTATGTATATTTATTTTTAGTTGTCCAGATAGTTTCTTTCTATTTTTAATAGAGACAGGGTCTCGCTTTTGTTCAGGCTGATCTCGAACTCCTGACCTTGAGCGATCCATCCACCTCGGCCTCCCAGAGTGCTAGCATTACAGGCGTGAGCCACTGCACCCAGCCAACTCTCATTTTTTAAAATAAAAATATGGCATCCAGTGGTTCCTAATAAATTCACCCCCACTAAATGGAGGTGAAATTCAACAGAAGTGGCAAAGAGGACTACCCCATGGGCATCACCAGACCCCAAACAGTCCCATAAGCCCCATCCCTCCCCCATGACCTACCTCTGTGCTGTTTGGAACCTCAGCACCCAGCCAGTGCCTTGGAAACCCCCATCACCATGCCTCCAGCTCTCCCAGAACCGGAGTCCCACTGACGCTGCAGTTCCACACGTGGACATGTAAGGGTGACCCCAGGGAATGTGCCTGTCAGCAGTGGTCTGCTGCAGCCTCCAAGATCTAGAGAGGTACCACACATTTACCTACCAGAATGCCAGCACAAGGGGCGACACTTCCTCTGCCCCACATTAAGGCCCCTGGCTGGCAGCAAGCAGTGAGGAAGTCCAGCTGGTAGGCACAAGAACAGCACAGTGGCGCCCATATAGGAACCCCAGGGCCAGGGGAAGCCCATGGGAGGCCTGGGCCAGTCCTCTTGGGTTCATAAAAGCCAGGGTAGAGAAGCAGGAATTTGTGTAGGTGGGCGGGGATGAGTTTATTGGCATGGCACTAACAATTAAACAGACCCAAGAGCAAGGCCCTAGGGTCTAATTTTTAAATATAACATTTGTTAAATTATGGGGACGGGGCTAAAAGTAGGGTGCATTTGAAGGGAGGGTTTAGAGTAGTGGCTATTTACTAACTAGTAGGGAAGTCTTTCTTTTTAGTTAAGTAAAGCTGTTTTTAACCCTTAAAAGGACTCAAAAGCAGAAATCCAGAAAGGCCTCAGGAATGACTGGCAACTAGGACCAAGAAGCCATGGCCCCACAAAGTTCCCTCTCCATCTATCATCTCTGCCTTTCTCTGTAAATACACACAGGCCTTCCTAAGCCTGCCAGCTCTGCTGCCTCCACGTTTACACACAGCAGCTCTGGCCACAAAAAGAGATGGGCTTGCTTTTCCTCAATTCCAAATTCCCAGGGACTGGTCAGCTTGGGTCCTATCTCCATATATAGCCAACACGATAGGTACCGTTGTATAATTTGGCAACAGAAACCCAATCCTGCGAAGGTGGGTTTCTGACTAAGGAGTCACTGTGAATTGACAAAGAAAATTTCATCTATTGTACAGATGAATGTGAAGGCACACAGATGTATGCCACAATACCTTGATGTGGGAGATGAGGAAATGTAGTTTTTTAAGAAATAGATGGTCGTTTCACTAGAGGAGGAATATGAGAAACAAATGTGAAGAGAGACAGGGAAGACTGCAATTCTGGACACGAGTTTAATTACTTACTGGATCATCAGATGGAAATATGTGGTAAATGGACAGAAAAGAGATTCATAAACTTACCAGAGGTAGGCATTTTAGACCAGTTTAGGTTCAGACATCTACCTGGAAAACTTTTTAACATTTAAAATAAACTTTTTGCCATAAGAAACAATGTATTAAAACTGGTTTCCAGAATTGTCCAAATTGTATTTTAAACATTTTTTTCCACATTACTTTAAATGGCAAGTTTTCTTTGGCAAATCTATCCAAAATACTAAATTTTCATTTAGAATTTAGTTTATATTTATGCATTAGAGTGCCCTAAACTAATGTTTGTCAGGATACCTTCCTCTAAGCCATAATGGTTTATGCCTTCCCTTTAAAAGTGTCTTTTAATTGTCATTCTCAAAGATATTTCAGAGAAAAAAAATTGTTAAACACCTATAAATTCTTCTTCACTTCTGTTATAGTGTAGCAATTTATCATCTAACCCATAGTGGTCTATCAATTGAGTAAGGCTTAGTTTCTTGTTCTCTTCAGACATAGCTGATTGCAACTCATAAAGCAATAGCTGGCTACAGCTTCTCCACTTCTTTATTAACAACCGTAACTGAGACAGGTCATTCTGAAACAGAAAACAAAACAAACATGAATGTAAGTCAATAACTACATGGTCATGCTATTTTAAGTTACTCAATGAAGTTGTCAAATCAGTTGATGTACATGGTTAAAGGCTAACATACCTGGGGATGAAAAGGACTTCTACCTAGGAAAAAGTAGGATGGTCACAAGTAGAATGGTTACAATGGCACTCAACTGACTTCTATGGCCATTTTGTTTGTTCCAAACTCTGGACCATCCTTATCGTCAGGGAAAAATCAAATCATTAAATAGGGCAAAACTAGTAAAAAAAAAAAAAATACACTTTTTCTTTTACAACTGTACTTTTTAAAAATGACACCACGGTGTACTTTCCACTCAATTTTGCTGTGAACCTAAAACTGCTCTTAAAAAATAACAATATTCAAATTAAAAAGTTTTTTCAACATTCAATATCTCATAAATAAGTCATATTTAGAAAAATCCTAAAAATTCAAGAAAGCAAACGAGATACACTATTCCATCATTTTTTCCACATTGCTCGGGAAGAATGAACTACTGCATATACATAAATTACCCAGGTAAGAAAGGTTAACTCCTTCCAAGTGTCCAAGTTCTACTTAATTCAACCAAACTGGGTTGAAATGTTAAATCTAGTATTAATATATATTTGTTGTTTTCTCAAAATGCCTGAAACACTTTAATCTGGGGGAGACACAAGATAAAAATACTTTTTATTGTACTCTGTAGCCCATTTTTAGTTTCATTCATTCACTGTCAGCTGTCACTTTTGTTCCCATTGTACTTGCACCTAATATTTAATACCTCTAATATTGCTATGGGGTAGAAACTAGAGAGAAAAGCTTCAACTGCATATTAAATGAGAGTTGGGACTCTCAAATAAAGGTTTTATCCTGGTGTTTAGAGGCCTCTGCTACTCTAAATCTATACTTAGAGTTGAATCAAAGTCGTTGGAAGCCAGGTTTCTTAATATTTCGCTTGTTTATTATGCTAAAAAAAAAACGCTTACTTTCTATTTTTGAAATTAACTTTCCTGCAATTTCTGTAAGAATAAAAAATTATTATGCAATGGTCCTGAAATTCTCACCTTTGATCTATACATTTTGACTAGTTTTAGCCTCCGGAGGAAATCTTCTTTCTCCTGAATCTGCTTCACCAATTTTGCTTTTTCTTCATTTGATCCTTGTTTAGGAAGATTCTCACTCACAAACTCATTTTGGAGAGCACTGCACAACCTACTATCAAGTGATTTAGATTCACACACATTGACATTCTTGAAGGTGTTTTTCAAATATGTACTTTCTTCAAATTCGCTGTCTATATGTTTGAAACTTTTTTGAAATTCCAAACAGTTTTCTTCTGTGGAAGATGCTGGTTTCTCTGAACAGGTCTGGTCATTTTCTTCATCCTCTACTTTAAGACGTTTTACCACATTGTAACAGGAATTAAATGAAGATCTTGTTTTCCTTAATCTTTCTCTAAGTGTTGCACTCATGGGCTGTAAAGGGCACAAAACATTAAAAATGTTAATCAAGAAAAATATTCCTGATGTAAATAAATCTACTAGAAATAAAGGCCTTACACTTCTACGACAGACACCACTAGATGGCTTTCTGTCTCCATGTATCTAAAGTAGCCATCATGAAACACCTTTAATTTCCAGCTACATGAGTTTTGTTCTTTTTTACCTCAGCAAAGTCAACACCCTTTAAAACAGTGTTGAGACACTTATCCCACTAATCACTGAACATCTGTCCAGCAACTACTAATAGCACATGCCTGATAGTACCCTAGGTGCTTTAGAATTACAGATTAGGGAAAAGACCTAGATCCTGCCAACAAAGAGCTTCATAACAATATTTCACAGTTAAAACTTCCTCAATTTGTAGTACTATAATAACCTGATCTGAAAATAAATGAAATGAATTTATTCAAGACGAAAATCTGGCAGCAAGCAGGTGTGAGGAGTATCATACACTTTATCTTAGAAGAAAAACCTAAAATTACTACTTAATGAAATACCTACTTATGCTACATATTATGTTAGTTAACACCTTCGGTAGACTTAAAACCACCACTGCCACAATACTTAAACACAGAATGAATCCCCTGGAAAAACTAAGACTTTTGTACTTGTTTTCGTGAACTATTTGTATGAAGAGATGGTGGGTTTGCACAGGCCTCTGGAGTCCTAGGTAAAATCACAGCTGAGTCTGATGGACTTTCCATCTTGAAAATGAAATCTTGATTTACCTCTAAAAAAGAAAATGTAATTATAAAATGGGAATCAAATTAACCACATCTCTATATAGTCCTCGATTTTTATCAAAGAATTTGTACTGGTGTATAAAACATCCACAAGTAGGCCAGCAATTTCTCCTAATTTCACTTAGTTGTAATTCATTCTTGCTCTTTTTAAAGTTTTCCATTTACCTTCCCACATCGAGACTGTTTTTTCATGACAAATTAACCAGCTAGTATCTCAAAGAAACAAGATTCTCCTTGTTTTGTTTTCATATATCAAAATACCTTCAAATTCCGCGTCGCGGGGAGGGGAGAATAACAACTTTAGATAGGAATTCTTTAATTTCGTTATGGCAGCTTCATAATTAAAGGAGATACAGCTTAAAGCTTGACTCAAAAAATATAATCAGACCTGTCAGTCAACCTGAACTCTAAAAGGTGTGTGACTAAAAACTGTTACCCTCCACGCCCGAGGCTTAGGAAACACGCCGAGATACGTTTACGCCCGTCTGCACCGTTTTAAGAAGCGAATAGACACTGAAAAGGAGTCGATTGCAGTTGTTTCCTCCAACAAAGGCATCCACTTTAGCCGGGTAAACCCACAGGGAGGAGTCCTCCCCATTGCACGAAGCGCACTAGCCCGCCGGAGACCCCGGGCCTGAGGAGGAGTCGAGTCCCCCCGACAGCGGAAAGGGTCCACAGCTGTGGACTCGACTCCACGGCAGACCCCCAAGGAAACCCAGTTCTCAGACCTGCCCTCGCCCTCAGCACGCTACCTCCCTAGGCCATCCCCAGCGTGGCCAGAAAACGCGCGCAGTCGCGGCCGTAAACGTACCCGGTGCCAGGGGCGGGGACGCACGGGAGGCGGAGGAGACGCGCGATTGGACAGACTGAGCGACGCGCGTGGCTGGGCTTCACCCGCCTCCCGAAAGGGACCGGACTTCGCGCGGACGGGGGCGGGACTTGGCCACGCCAGAGGCGGCTGAGACTCGTGATTGGCAGAATTGACTGGCGCGCGCGCGCGGCTCTGCTCCGCCCTGCGCCCGAGAGCTCCGGGATGCGCGCGCGCGGCCGCGATCCTCCGCAGGGTGTCTAAGGCGGAGCTTGTGGACGACTAAGCTATCCGGACGGGGGCGCGCTTCCGCCCGCGGCTTCCCTTCCCTTCCCTTCCCTTCCCTTCTTACTTCCTGGTTTTTGTGTCTGTGAAGTGCGCAGAGAATGTCCCTCGCCCCCATTCTGCCGGCCGCGGCCGGTCTCATCTCTGCGCTCACCCTCGCCGAGGCTGTCCTCAGGCGTGACGCGACTGGAAGCCGCGCGGCTGCCTGCGAGTTACAAGTTACAGTTGCCGACTCCCTTCGGCAGAGACCACAAAAGAACAGCGCCGGGTTCCAGCCTATTGCGAATCAAACTTGTTAGAAATCTCTGCCAGTGTCTCGGCACTTTCGGCGGAGCTCATCTCTGGCTAAACGCGGCGCTCCCCTCACTAGGTTTTCTGTCGCATCTACCTCAAAATTCACGTTCCTTAGTTTCAAATCTTTTAGTCAAGTCTGAGAGAAAACCTAGCCCAACGAAACGTGTTGTGGCGCAGTACGGGGAGCGAACGATCACTAAAGAAGATTGCATCCTTCCAGAACTGGGATGTTTGAGACAGACATGGCCCTGGGCGAACACCCGCCGCAGCATCCTTAGTCTCTAATACCTCCCGCTTCCTGTGTGGCGAGGTTCTGTCGCTGTGCGACGGCAGAGTTAACTGAGTCGGGTGGAGCACTGGGTTTGGGGAACTGAGCTGAGTGACTTCTGAGTCACGGGGAAGCTGGGAATGTTCAGGGGCCCGTGTTCCCAGTCCTCTTATTGAATGGCCACCTTAGGCGTTGACACTGTCCGTCCTTTAACTAGCATCTGATGCTAATGGCTTAGAAGTAGCCCGAGAAAGTGACTTGAGTCCTAAACAGTCAAGTATAAATACAGAACCCGAAGACAACCTAATGGAATGATTAGGGACATAAATGTTGCCTAGGCTCAAATCCTGGCACCATATTTTATGTGCTATCTACTGTAGTGTTTCGGTGCCTCAGTTTCCTCATCTGTAATATGACGTCGGAGGATTAAATGAGAACTGATGAGAGGCATCTAGAACAGAGCTAGGTATCTAGGAAGCGCTCAATAGTTACTTTATACATTCCCTAAGTGATTTAAAGGAATGTACCACACACACTTTCATCGCTTCACGTATCTCTCCCCCTAAAACCCCATGTTTTTAAAAAAGACATGAGCTGTGAGATCACACACAATTTAAACCGTAAATAGCAGAAAACTTGGAGGCTCCACATATATTTAATATGTATTCCACTCCTAAATTTTTCAAAAATTATATAAATTAACCTCAAGGAATTTGCAAAGTGAAAGAGAGAACTCATGGTTTTGTGATACAGGTGTTATTCACCTCACCCAAGTCACAGGTCTCAGTCTGTACATTTATTTCTCCCTTTACTCATCCACTGGCATCAGTTAATCTCTGAAAAAAGAATGATTTGTCCCGACACTAGAAGCACAATGCAGACGATGCATGTTCTTTATACCTCAGGGCATAAGGGTGAGTTGTTTTTATGAGTCCCTAAAATCAGCTGCTCCCAAATCCTTTTATCATTACATTACAACCTAAGCTTAGAGCTGTGTTTTTGCTGGCTGCATAAAGGAAAACAACATCTTGCCTTGCAAATGTTCTGACTTGCTCGTTATGTGAACCAGTATATTAAAATGGGATTGTTTGGCCAGATTTTCAAAGAACTTCAGAACATATATTCAGAAAAACCCGTATTTAAGATACATGCATTTGTTGACCTACATCTCTGACTTCCATGCATTATCAGGATCAGATGACCTCCCCATACGTAACTTTGTATTTTACTTACTCCCCTCATATAACAAATTGGAAATCCACCTTCCTCTCTTAATTTAGTGTAGGAGATCTGGAATATAGCCCTATACTTTTCATCGTAGGCTTCAGAAAAAGCCTACAAACATTTCCATGTCTTTAGTGACTTGCAATTCTATTAGCCTATGGAAGAGTTTGTTGTTTCTGACACAGGACATTGTATGTTTCATATGAAACTTTTTAGGCAGGGAAAAATACCCACCCCAGTGAGCCAGAAAGCAGACTCCTTGCCCTACTGTAGAGAATAATTTGAGCAATAGAATTCAATAATAATAGTAATTAATATCAGCCTAAGTCAGACTTTCCCTGTATTTTTTTTTTTAATTTCTTCACAACCCAAGGCTACTCTTGGGCACTTTGTTATTCATCAGGAAGTGGTAAAATGCTTCTTCCTTTCTTGTCTGTGATTGTTGTTTGTGGGATGATGACATAGACCTAAAATCTTTATGAGGTTTTTTTTTGTTTTTTATTCTTTTTTAATGGCAAGAAAAAAATAGTGAATAGTGCCTCTCTCTCCCTCTTTCTGTCTCTCTGTCTACACATACACACACACATACACACACACACACACACACACACGCACGTATTTGCAGCCACAATTAAAATTTTTATTTCTGTAGATTTATTTTTGAAATTCTGGGCATTAGCATTATTTTTAAAGTCAATGGTAATCTCAGGATGATCAAAATTCCATTCCATAGACTTTTCTCTATTGACAAAAATTATCGTGTCATGTGGACATAACTAGTATGCATAGGTTATTTTATAAATAATTAAAGATATAAATATACACCTTTGATTAAAATCCACTTGGGTGAGGAATTGTGTAAAATCTATAGGATTAAGTTGATGCACAATGTCCATTAGGAAAAATTAAACAAACTAAATTTAATACAGATTTATAACACTCACAAGAAAATCTGATAAATTGTCTTAACTGACTTTCAATATTTCTTATGACATTTGCACATAAGTTAAAAATAACCTTCAAAAACTCTTCTCTCAGTTTCTCTTGCTATAAATTCAAGTCACATCTTACAGACCTATCCACGATAAAGAGGTATTTTAGTGCTCTGTCCCTTCATAAATTTCTCTTTCAGAATAATTGACAAATATTTATATTTCTTTTCTCTCTTACCTAAAGATCTCATATGCAACTCCATACTGTGTGGTTGCGACACTTGGAGAGACTATTGAAGACTTTGTTACCAAAGGGTGACCTTTATGGATTAACTGTTTAATATTGTTTAGCCAAGTTAAGCAAGAGAGAGTTTTATTTTCAACCCCAAGATAAAAGGGCCTTTGACTTATTGTTAGGCATGCCTGAGAAATTGCCTCACTGAGTAGGATGGTTACTTAGAACATGGAACCTGAGTGCGATAAAACCTTTCCATCACCAGGCAACTAGAAAATTTATCTGATAAATAATATTCAGGAAAATGTACTAAACAAGAACCTAAAGAGCTCCCTTCACCTGAAGTTCCGGTCCTTTTATTCTACCAGATCTGGCATTTAGTCGAGTCCATTAGAGACTAGAGAAGCAATGGTGTCTATGATTCACTGCTATTACTGGGTGTGTTTCCTTGAAGAAGAATAGAGTGATTCAGGTTAGATTAAAATGGTGAGAGAAGAGGTAGAGGAGGGGTTGGGGGCGGTAGTGGCATAGGAGTTACATTGTTAAAAGGTAATGGGAATAAAAATACTGCTCAGGGCACCATCCTTCTTAGATCCTTTTTTGACTCAGAAATGTCACCCCTGCATTATTTGGAGAAAAAGGGCATTAGATGTCAGCAAATCCTTAAGCAACAGAACATGTCTTATAATCATCTTTAACTACCTTGAGGCTTGCGAGAGAACAACCCCCGAGATAATTTCACAGTATGGAAATCTGTTTGAAGTGCCGGCAAACAAGTCAACTCAATTTTCTACTCTTACCTCTCATTACTGTTTCAGTCTTGAGGGTATAAAAGGCTTCATCTTAGTGATGTTTTTTCGAGGGGAAAGCTAGGGTGTCTAATGGTGCCAGGAAACTAAGGAGTTAAGAAACCATGGTCTAGAATAATTGTTTCTGCTCTTCTACCCTTTGGCAAACTTTGATGATAAGTATAGTAGTAAAAAAAATCTGTGGATTTAGCCTAACCAGAAATTTTCTGGCCCAGTTTAGGATCTGAGAGCTAGATTGAAATTTAATCCTTTCCCACCACCCCACCAATTAGAGGAAACACTAGGTCTCCACTCCCAAAGGCCAGGTAAAATGTCTTTGA